TAATTGGGGTTTGGTCGTCTGGAGGTTTTATAGAGCGCTGTTGATCTTCGTCCCATGAGGAGCGCGTGTTGGAAGCAGACCGTGATCGATGACCGAGAGATATGGAGTTTCGAGAAGTATTTGAGAAGTATTCTGGCCGTTCAAAGGGGGGAAAACCCTCGATGTACAAAAAGATCTTGTAAACGAGTGAAAGTCTGAAGGAGAAATAGAATGGCGAAGGAAGGGAGAACCTTTCCCATCACCGTTCTCAAGGTACGAGGAATAGAGAGGACGTTGACTGGGGCTGGAGCAACATACGTAACAGCGTGTGATCGAGGGGGATTCCGCAGACACTTGTACCACGGAGTGCCTGCATGACTGGCGCTACAGGTGTCCCAAACGCATGATACTATTTTTGGAGTTTGACAGCGGACTGATAATACGTGATTATTTTTGTACATTATATTTATGAAGGAAAGTATGGTCACTGGAAGGATAGGTGGAAGAGAAGTCAGTGGAGTGAATATGAGCAGACCACTCCAGGTGATTTTTGGAATATTCGCATCAACCCAACAAAGATTTCCAAGTGACGACGTCTGACGAGGGAGCCGAAGTAGCATGCAACTTCGGTCAGATGTTGCTCTCGCGCCCCGTGACATGCCCCCAGTGGAAGGCCCGGCCACTCCCCACGGCTCAGGCTCCGCGCCCTTACAAGTCCTCTTTCTTCCAAATCTTCTTGGACCTGAAGCTTCCCTCCATGCCCCTGCCCTCGCGCCTCCTGCCCTTCGCCCTCCCCTCGCTGCCCGAGTCGCTCTCGTCCCTCCTCCTCAAGGTCAAGCAGCTGGGTCGTGTCTCGAGGACCGAAAGGGGGTCGTCGCTCCTTCCGTCGCTCTCGTGCGCCGCCAAGGACGTTCGCTCGCTCGCGCCCTCCCCCCTCCCCCCGATAGAGGCCACTCCCTGCTGCTCCTGCTCCTCGTGCCGCCGTTGCTGCTCCTGCTGTTACTGCCGAGATCCGAAAGTGCAAAGGACCTCCGACGCTCGCTGGTTCACCTGGCTCCTCAGGTGAGAAGTTTAAGGACTGTTAGGATACGCGAGAGAAGGGGTGCGAATACTGACCATGTATACAAGAAGAGATACATACACGCAACCGCACATACACATGCACATACACGCGTGTACACAGACAGACGGACAGACAGATAGACAAAGAAAGCGAGACACAGACAGACAGAGAAAGAGAGAGAGACAGAGACAAATAAACAATCAGAGGGACAGGAACTATACAAAGACAGGCAACAGAGGGAACACACGAAAAGCATCCCGGACCAGATAATGGAACAATGTTTCCGGAACCCATGAGGAATTATACCTACAGACGAGTGAGGAAATACCCAATGCAATGTAGACTGATAGCGCTTGCGTGCACACCGGGAATCCCCCAGTGCACATAAGCCAATTCAGGAGATGATAGACGCTTATTGGAGACAGGGAATCGGCCTTTCCTCAAGAGTATACGAAAAGGTGGATAAGAAAATACAATAATTGTACGGATATGCGATAAAAGGAGAAGGGAATACGATAAAACGAATGCGGATATGGGATAGACAAAAAAGATGAAGAAATACGATAAAATGGAACACGGAAATATGATAAAAAGGAACACGGAAATACGATAAATGAAACACGGAAATGGGACAAAACGAAAATGCTATTACGATAAAAACAGGGACACAGAAATACGATAAAACGAGAGACGGACGCAGGAGGAAAACGAACGGACTCTATTTTCTCCGTGGTATTTCGACACGGCGGCACGGCACGGCGGAAGAGCGGACAGACGTGTTAAAGCTGAGTTAGTGCCACTCGCTGCCACAACGCGGTGCCCATTCTGCGTTGAGCCGAGATGTATCATTTGATGCTGTATCTCCCGTCACGTTTGTTGCATCAAGAGTCGTGCACATTGCGTAATTCCAGCCTCGTGTTCTTTGTTTGCTTTTGTTACAAGTTATAAGCTTTTTTCCTTAAAAAAATATATATATATATATGAATATAAGCTTTCACTTCATTTACGTGACGTTATTTGTAATCATTGTGATATATGAGATCTGGATGTGTTTCGTCTGTTTTCTTAATGATTTCTTATATTTATTTAATATATCTTCGCTAACTGTATGAGTTAAATCGAATTTGATTTTTTTTTATTGAATGTGCACAATATTTACGTCATGGACACGTCATTATGTTGATGTGATTATTCACACGATAAACAGCATTTTGTCGCCCTGCTATTAAGTCCTTTGTGTAAGAGTTTAAGTATGTAAATGTCTTTATGTATCCTCATTTTTCTATAGTTTGTTGCTGGTAATTACCATGTAGGTGTACAATATTTGAGTCTATATATATATCAAGTATACTTCGGGGATATCGTGTAGCAGGTGCGGAAAAGTCTGTTTTGAGTCCGGGAAAAAAAATATTTTTATTGTTACGTGTAGCGAAGGAACGTGACCAGAAAATATATTTT